CTAATCCCCAAGACCTGTAAGATTTATCTTACATGGCAAAAGAGACTTTGCGGGTATGATTGAATTAAAGATTTGAGATGGGGGAGATTATCCTGGTGGCCCTAATGTAAACATAAGGGTCCTTTTAAGAGGGAGATGAGATGGTCAGAATAGGCACTGCCACAAAGGAAGCAGAGGTTAGTGATGCGAGAAGGGGGCCCTGAGTCAAGGGATGTAGGTGGCTTCTAGAAGGTGGAAAAGGAAAGGCACCAGATCTTCCCCTAGAGCCTCCAGAAGGAATGCAGCCCTGGTCACATTGGTTTTAGGATTTCTGACCTCTAGAATTGTTAAGATGCTAAATTTGTGTTGTTTTAAGACATTAGGGACTGCACACGGTGGCTCATGCTTGTAATCCCAGCGCTTTGGGAGGCTGAGGTGGGTGGATCACTTGAGGTCAGGAGTTTGAGACCAGCCTGGCCAACGTGGCAAGATCCCGTCTCTACTAAAAATACAAAAAAATTAGCCAGGCATGGTGGTGGGAGCCTGTAATCCTAGCTACTCTGGAGGCTGAAGCAGGAGAATTGCTTGAATCCAGCAGACGGAGGTTTCAGTGGGCCAAGATGGCACCACTGCACTCCAGCCTGGGCGACAGAGTGAGATGCCATCTCAAGAAAAAAAGAAAAAGAAAAAAAGACATTAGGTTTAGGTTTGTTGTAGTTTGCTACAGCAGCAATAGAAATTAATGTACATAGTTTGTTTAACATAAAAATTTAAAAGAAGCCTTAAGGTTTTATAATGCCCACTTTTACAGGTGAGTGACAGAGATATAACCCACCTAAGGTTATGAAACCTGAATCAGGTTCTGAACTCAAATCTCCATGATATTTTTATGAGAAGTAAATGAGCATTTTAAGACCCAATCTCTGACCTCAAGGAACAATCTAATAAGCTATGTATGTAAAAACTATAATGCAAGGTAAAAATGCAAGTCTCTTATAACACAGAAGTAAAGTGCTGTGGCCCTTCAAGGATGGAAAGATACCTGATTGGAGAGGCAGGGAAGGCTTCACAGAGGTGGCCTCTGAGCAGAGTCTTGAAGGATGTGTTAGACTGCTACATGCAGTCTATTACGAGGGGACCATTACGAGTTGAAGAAAGAGTTTAAGTAAGAGAAACTCACAGGGTTTGTTGGGATTTCAGTCTTGATTGGTGGAGTGGGAGTGAAGGAGACAAGCAGAAGGCACACAGCTAGAAAGTGAGATGGGAACAGATCATGGAATATCCAGAACACTAAACTGAGGAAGTGCAGAAGTATTGTGTGGGCTATAGGAAGCCACTGCAAGTTTTGAGCTGTGATATGATCAAAAAAACCAGGGAGATAAACAATAAGATATTGATCATGAAGTCATTAAATAATAATGTCTTGGCTGGGCGCGGTGGCTCCTACCCGTAATCGAGCACTTTGGGAAGCCAAGGCAGGAGGATCGTATGAGGCCAGGAGCTCAAGATCAGCCTGGGCAACATGGTGAGACATCGTCTCTACAAAAAATATATATATTTTAATACAATGTATTTAAACTACTCAAGGCCAGGCACGGTGGCTCACACCTGTGAAACCAGCACTCTGGGAGGCCACGGCAGGCAGATTATCTGAGGTCGGGGTTTGAGATCAGCCTGGTAAAAATGGTGAAACACTGCTTCTACTAAAAATACAAAAAGTAGTTGGACGTGGTGGTGCACACCTATAATCCTAGCTACTCGGGAGGCTGGGGCAGGAGAATCACTTGAACCTGGGAGGTGGAGTTTGCAGTGAACCAAGATTGTACCACTGCACTAAAGCCTGGGCAACAGGATGAGACCCCTTCTCAAAAAACAAACAAACAAACAAACAAACAAACAACAACAAAAAACAGCCAGGCGCGGTGGCTCACGCCTGTAATCCCAGCACCCTGGGAGGCTGAGGTGGGTGGGTGGGTCACTTGAGGTCAGGAGTTCAAGACCAGCCTGGCCAACATGGCGAAACTCCGTCTCTACTAAAAGTACAAAAATTAGCCAGGTGTGGTGTCTGGCACCTGTAATCCCAGCTACTCAGGAGGCTAAAGCAGGAGAATCGCTTGAACCCGGGAGGCGGAGGTTGCAATTAGCTGAGACGGTGCCACTGTACTCCAGCCTGGGTGACAAGAGCGAGACTCCGTCTCAAACAAACAAACAAACAACAGCAGCAACAACAACAACAACAACAAAAACAAACAAAAAACCCCACAACCTACTCCAAAGTAGCTGGGGTGATGTTTTTGGCCAGCAGGTTCCCTTGCCCTTTGGCTTGGGGTTGGGTTTGGCCAATGTGGAGCATCAGTGGGCAATTGCAGGGAGAAGAGAGAGTGAGGTTAGCGTGTATATTCCCTCACTGTCTTCCTGGGAGGTTATCTTTGCCTGGATGTGTTCCCTGAAGGAAAGTCATCACTGCTATCATGGTGACCCTCTTCACGCAAATCTTTCCTTCCAGGTTCTGGTAACTGCACTTTCTCCTCACCTCTTCATGTCCAGGAATGGTTTCTCTGCATCGTATCCATACCTTTGTGAACAGTCCCTTTCTTAAACTCTCCTCAGTTTATCTAATTGGAGTAGGCCATCTATTTCCTACAGGGACCCTGCCCAGTGCAATTGTCCTAGCCCCACACAGATTCTCTGATCCCCAGATCTCTCCTCTTGCCCCAAGGAAGTAGGATGGGTGAGCAGTGTTCTCAGTTCAGGTCTAGTTCTCACTTATAGCTAACTGTACACGTTTCTCACTGTTGCAGGAGGAAGCTTCAGGCATTTTCAAAAAATTTATTTTGTTATCTTCACAAACACTCACAATTAAAGATCTGCTTGGGTATGGAGTTAACTCAGTCCATACCTCCTCCTCCTCCTGAGTAGATTAGAGTTAATATTGTGGCACCCAATTTCTAATGAGTGGAAAAAATAAAAACCTTAAAAACATGTCTGTTCTTTAAAAAATATATATAGACATGCATTATTTTATTTTATTATTTTTTTGTTGTTATTGAGACGAAGTCTCATTCTGTCACCCAGGCTGGAGTGCAGTGGTGCAATCTTGACTCACTACAACCTCCGCCTCCTGGGTTCAAGCAATTCTCTTGCCTCAGCCTCCCGAGTAGCTGGGACTACAGGCGTGTGCCACCATGCCTGGCTAATTTTTGTACTTTTTTAGTAGAGACAGGGTTTTGCCATGTTGGCCAGGCAGGTCTCAAACTCCTGGCCTCAAGTGATCGGCCTCCCAAAGTGCTGGGATTACAGGTATGAGCACCACGCCCAGCCAATATATTTTTTATTTTAATAGCTTTTGAGGTACAAGTGTTTTTTACTTACATGGATGAATTGTATAGTGTGAAATCTGAGATTTTAGTGTGCTTGTCACCGAGTAGTGTACACTGTGCCAATATGTAGTCTTTTATCCCTTACCGCCTTCAAAAACATGCCTGTTCTGACCCAGCACATCCTTTTTCAGCAATTTAACCTAAGGAAAGGGTCAGTGGATAAATGTAAAGACTCAGCTACAGAGATGTCCACTGCAGCGTTGCTTATAAATACAAAAACTGGAAGCAACCATAATGTCAAGCCTCAGTAGACTGGTTAAATAACTATGATGTATCTAATATAGTGGAATATAATAGAATGCTATTTAGACATGAAAAGAATGTTGTAGAAGAGTATGAACAGATGACCATGTATTTTTAAAAATTTTGTTTCGTCTTTTTTTTTCCTTTTTATTTTTTGCAAGTTAACTTTAAATTGGGGAATAATTTTTAGATTTATAGAAAAGTTGCAAAGATAGTGCAGAATTCCCTTATACCCTTCACGCAGTTTCCCCTAATGTTACCTCTTACATAACCATAATATACTTATCAAAATAAATACAATGTTATTGACTAAACTACTTTATTCAGATTTTACCAGTTTTTCCGTGAATGTACTTTTTCTGTTCCAGGATCCAATCCAGAATACCACATTATATTTAGCCAAAATATACTTTGCAGGGAAAAAATTGTAAGGAAGACTGCAAAAATATGCATCCAAATGTTAACAGAAATGTACCAGTTAAGACTTTTTGGTTGTAAGCATCAGAAACTGACTTTGGCAACCTTGTGAAATAGGAATTTGTTAGAAGGATGTGGCACATCTCATTTAAATAAAGGAAAAAGTAAACACAACTCTTGGAAAGGACAGAACCAAGGCTGCTCTAGCGTTCAAGACAAGAGGGACTATCTATTTTTTTCTGAATAGGGAGCCATCACTAGGGTGATGTTTTTGGTCTCTGGATCACTCTGCTTAAGACCTAAACTCTGGAAAGGGTGAATCTGTTGGACCAAGCCCGGGCCACTCAGCCGTCCTTTGGCCAGGGACACTGGGGCACCTTGACCAACATTTCCTCTGCCTTGCAATGGCAATGGAGAAAAAGTAATTCCCTAGAGAAAAATAGAAATTCTGTACCCCAAAATACAAGGCATAAATATTGATAAAGCAAAAGAAGATATATCTGGAATAAGTGACTATCTCTAAAGTTATGGGTGAATGACTTTTTTTCCTCTGAGTTTTCCAAATGTTACAAATAAACATGTATAGCTTTTCTAATAGCCATAAAAAGCTTATTTTAATATTCTTGTGCCTAAAGTTAACAAATCAAGTAAGCAGATTTTAGTATCGACAGGCCTACTTTTTGTCTGTGTGTTCAAATCATTACACCTGGACCAAGAAAGTGGCATTGGGAATGGACAGGAAGGGGTAGAGAGCAGAGATGCTTTAAAGGAAGACTCCAAGAGAACTTGGCCCTGACTAGTTACAGGAGATGGAGGAGAAGGACAAATTAGAGTTGATTCCAGACTCCCGGCCACAATCACAGGGAAAATGGTGTTCCATGGCCAAAACACTGAAGTGATGGGCACAGTGAGCTGCCTGGGGTAAGGAAGGTGGCAAGTTCTCCTAGCATGTGGCTTTCATTTTCCTCATCTGACCTCCAGGGCTGACGATGAATCTTCAGAGCCTGTGAACACCAATGTGGTCCTGCGGTATGATGGGCTGATCACCTGGGATGCACCGGCCATCACCAAAAGCTCCTGTGTGGTGGATGTCACCTACTTCCCTTTTGACAACCAGCAGTGCAACCTGACTTTTGGTTCCTGGACCTACAATGGCAATCAGGTAGACATATTCAACGCCCTGGACAGCGGAGATCTCTCTGACTTCATTGAAGATGTGGAATGGGAGGTCCATGGCATGCCTGCTGTGAAGAATGTGATCTCCTATGGCTGCTGCTCTGAGCCTTACCCGGATGTCACATTCACCCTCCTTCTGAAGAGGAGGTCCTCATTCTATATTGTCAACCTCCTCATCCCATGTGTCCTCATATCTTTTCTGGCTCCTCTGAGTTTTTATCTCCCAGCAGCATCTGGAGAAAAGGTCTCCCTGGGAGTGACCATCCTGTTGGCCATGACTGTATTTCAACTAATGGTAGCAGAAATCATGCCGGCCTCAGAAAATGTCCCCCTGATAGGTGAGTTTAAGTGTCTTCCACTTCAAGCCCAGCTTTGTAGTGCCTGGGGTCATGCCTTTAAGGTTGTATGTGTGCCTTTAAACTTGAAACAATGGAGCCAATTTCAGACTCAATACAGACTGTCTCGAATTTTTCTGGTGGTTGCAGTTAGCATCTTTCAATATAGATAAGGCTTTTGGAATCAAAACTGGTCTTATGGTCTCTGGGTTTACACAAAAGAGCAATGAAAAGCATTACACTTTAGAGCAGTGGTTATCAAAGTGGTGGTTCCCAGATGTACAGCATTGGCATCACCTGGGAACTTATAGAAACGCAAAACCTCAGGGCCCACCCTAAGCCTACTGAATCAGACATTCTGGAGATAAGGCCCTGGCGTCCTGTTTTAACAAGCTTCTGAGTGATTCTGATGCATTTTCCGTTTAAGTCTGAAATCCACTGACTCAGAGGTTAAAACCTGATTTTGAAGTCAAAGAAACCTGCATTTGAATGCTGACTTCACTGTTCACTCCTTGATCAAACTTAAGCAAGTTACTTGTTCTCTTAGTCTCTGCTTCATCATCTGTAAAATTTGTGTGTCACTGCTTAGTGCATGCCCTGGCATATGGTAAGTACTGAGTAAACAGTGACTATTGACTATTGTTATCATTTCATGTGACAAGGGCTTTCTTCTTGGGAAGAGTGGCAAACATGGCAGAAAGATGTGCTTTTTAAGCCTGACGTCTACCCTTAACAGAAAAATTTCATCTGCATTGGGTATAATAGCAGTGGAAGAGCTTATTAAAATGCAAGTTCCTACACCCGGAGAGTTTGATTTAGCAACTTGGCCAAGATTTGAGAATCTGAGATGATTCCAAAGCAGACTAAATTTTCAAAAATCTACAATAATGAAATGTCCCTCCAAGGACTGGAGTGCAGACTGAGGGTACCACCCCTGCCTCCCCTATCCTTGCCTAGCTTGTTCTGAGGGCTTTCCTATCCTCTTTAATGTCTACTTTCTGCCTCCAATACCCTTGAGATCCAACATCTCCATCTCAAGGACTTGCTGTTGTAACAGATGCTTACCAGAATCAAGCTAGATCTAAGTTTGAGTTCCTTAAAGTAAGCAATAAGGAGAAATTCTAGAACACCAAGGAACTTAGAGTCCAAAATCAAGAGATGTTGCCTTGCCCTTTTACTCTTTACTGAGTCCAATTACCCAATATTGAGATGATACTACAGTGGCTTCTCCATTTGGAGATATGTTCCTTTTTATGTCTCTCCTTGCAAAATACATATACACACACACACACACACACACACACACACACACACAGAGCCCTCTTTTTCAGAATTAAACACAGAAGGCTTTTCGTCCTCTAATAAAAAGGAGATGTATTGGCATTTTATTACCTCTCCTGAGGCAGAAATGATTGGCAGTGATGATCATAGCCCTGTTCGAGGAAAGATCATGGGACGGTCCCACTCTCTTCTTGGGCAGTGACATTATCTAGCAAGCTGGCACAATTTCTAAAGACAGATGTCTCACAGGAATTTCTTGTTCTGTTTTTATGAAAATATGAAATTTATATTTTTAAAATTAAATTTATATTTTTAAATTTTATTTTAATTTATTTTTATTATTTAAAAATGAAGGCTGGGCATGGTAGCTCATGCCTGTAATACTAGCACTTTGGGAGGCCGAGGCAGGCAGATCACTTGAGGTCAGGAGTTCAAGACCAGCCTGGCCAACATGGTGAGACCCTGTCTCTATAAAAAGAATTAGCTGGGCATGGTGGTGCGTGCCTATAATCCCAGTTACTTGGGAGGCTGAGACAGGAGAATCACTTGAATCTGGGAGGTGAAGGTTGCAGTGAGCCACGATTGCACCACTGCACTCCAACCTGGGCAATAGAGTGAGACTTTGTCTCAAAATAATATATATATGTAGAAAAAAATTAAAAAATTAAAAAGATAGGGTCTCACTATGTTGGCTAGGCTGGTCTTGAACTCCCGGGCTCAAGTGATCCTCCCACCTTGACCTCCCAAAGTTACAGGTGTGAGTCACCGCAACTGGCTGAAATTTATCTTTTTAGGAAAAGTGCACACAGATCTTGAGAACATTTATTTAACAATTATAATTTGTTATTCATAGCACCCATGGAATGTGTTCACAATATTACAGAAATATGCTTAGGTTTTCTGCATCAAATGTAGCCCTTGATATAGGTTTCTGGCCCATGACCTTTACCATTTTAAGAAATGTCTCATATATTAACTCAGAGTTTTTGACAAATAATAAGTAGATGATAAACATTATCAAATACTTTGTCTTCATCTATTAAGATAATAATGTGAGTTTTCTCTTTTACTCATCAATGTCGTGAATTACATCAATAAGTCTTCTGATATTGAACTCTTTTGTATAACTGGACCAAACTCTTTTTTTATGATACATTATCCTTTTAAGACACTGTTGGATTCAGTTAGCTAATATTTTGTAGAAGTTTCTCAAATATGTCGATTAGTGAAATGGCTTTAATATTTCTTTTCTTGTCACTTTTGGAATCAGGTCAAATGGACTTCACAAAATGAACTGGGCAGTTTTCCCTCTTTTTCTATTTCTAGAACAAGTTGCATAAGATGGGAATTATTTGTTCCTTGAAAGTTTGGTAAAACTCACCTATAAATTCTTTTTGGGCCTAGAGCCTTTGGTGGGGGGATGGTGTTTGATTGATTCCTATTTCTATTAAAGTGTTCTTTATTCTTGCACTAATTTTGACACCTGACATTTTCCCAGCAGTTTCACCTAGATTATCAAATATGTTATTATACAGCTATTTTTATTTTTGTTTTTTGAGACATAGTCTAGCTCTGTTGCCCAGACTGGAGTGCAGTGGCGTAATCTCGGCTCACTGCAAGCTTTGCCTCCTGGATTCAAGTGATTGTCCTGCCTCAGCCTCCTGAGTAGCTGGGATCACAGGCACTTGCCACCACAGCCGGCTAATGTTTTTTATATTTTTAGTAGAGATGGGGTTTCACCATGTTGGCCAGGCTGGTCTCCAACTCCTGACCTCAAGTGATCCACCAGCCTCAGCCTCCCAAAGGGCTGGGATTCCCAAAGTGGTGGGATTACAGGTGTGAGCCACCGCACCCGACTACACAGTTATTTATAATATTGTACTATTTTATAAGTCTTTTCCATCTTCTCTCTCTCTTTCCCTTCCTGTATGTCTCTCTCTATCCTGTAAGTGGTCTTATCAAAGGTTTATCAATTTTATTACTTTTTCAAAACTTTGCTTTTGGTTTTGTTCATCTTCTTGGATTTTTATTCTATATTTCATAAATTTGTAGCCTTATCTTAATTGTTTCCTTCCTTAATTTCCCTTTTTCATCAACATGTGCTTTATATAATCACAGTTTGAGGACTAATAGTGACACAGTCTCCTTTCTTACCCAATAGCAATTGGCTTTCATATTAATGAGGTCTGAAGACAGTTCTGAGAACTGGTCAAGTTCATTAATTGTTTGTTTGTTGAGTGTGGAAAAATTTTTCACCTCATGATCTCAGGAAATATTTCCAAACTTTTTAATTTCGAGCCAGGAACAGTGCTGAGAACTTCACATGTGTCATCTCAATTAAGCCTCCTCATATTCCTGCGAGTTAGATATTATTACTACGCCCACTTTACGACCAGGAAACTGAGGCTTAGCAGGATTATATGCCTTGCTGAAGGCCACAAGTGCAGGGAGTGATACAGCTGGGATTTGAATCCAGGAAGTCAGATTCAAAAGTCTATACTACAGCTGGGTGCGGTGGCTCACACCTGTAATCCTAGCATTTTGGGAGGCCGGGGTAGGCAGATCACTCAAGGTCAGGAGTTCGAGACCAGCCTGGCCAAGATGGCGAAACGCCCCCCCCCCACACTAAAAATACAAAAATTAGCTGGGTGTGATGGCAGGCGCCTGTAATCCCAGCTACTTGGGAGGCTGAGGCAGGAGAGTCGCTTGAACCTGGGAGCCAGAGGTTGCAGTGAGCCGAGATTACACCACTGCACTCCAGCGTGGGCGACAGAGTGAGACTTTGTCTCAAAAAAAAAAAAAAAAAAAAAAGTCTATACTGGTAACCACTAGGGTATAACACCTCCTTAGAAAGAGTGTTTGTTTCTTTTTAAGCCAAATATAGTCATGTGCCTCATAACAATGTTTTGGTAAATGACAGACCGTGTATATAACAACAGTCCCATAAGATTATAATGTCAATTTTCACTTTATCTTTTCTATGTTTAGGCACACAAATACTTAACCGTTTGATAATCATGTGTATAATTGCCTGCAGTATTCAATACAGTAACATGCTGCACAGATTTGTAGCCTCAAATCAACAGTCTATACCGTGCAATCTAGGTGTGTAGAAGGCTATACCATCTAGGTCTGTGGACATACACTCTATGATGTTCACACAACAGCAAAATCACCTAATGACTAATAACTTTCTCAGAATATATCCCTGTTGTTAAGTGACTCATGGCTGTATGAGGACCATTTTAAAGCAAATTCAGTTACAGTTGTTATTTTAATTCCAGGTAAATACTACATTGCCACGATGGCCCTAATCACAGCCTCCACTGCCTTGACCATCATGGTGATGAATATCCACTTCTGTGGGGCCGAGGCCCAGCCGGTGCCACACTGGGCCAGGGTGGTCATCCTGAAATACATGTCCAGGGTCTTGTTTGTCTATGATGTGGGTGAAAGCTGCCTCAGCCCGCACCACAGTAGAGAGCGGGACCACCTCACGAAAGTTTACAGCCAACTCCCAGAGTCTAACCCGAAAACAGCCAGGAACAAAGACCTTTCCAGAAAGAAGGGCATGAACAAACGCTTAAAGAACGACCTGGGCTGCCAGGGTGAGAACCCTCAGGAGGCCGAGAGTTACTGTGCACAGTACAAAGTGCTGACGAGGAATATTGAGTACATCGCCAAGTGCCTCAAAGACCACAAGGCCACCAATTCCAAAGGGAGTGAATGGAAGAAGGTGGCGAAAGTCATAGACCGATTCTTCATGTGGATTTTTTTCATCATGGTGCTTGTGATGACTATTTTGATCATAGCAAGAGCGGATTAGTCACAGATATTGGCTTTGCTATCTCGGTAGAAATTAATACAATTCCCTGTGATCTATTCCAGTGTTCTTCCAAGATTTTTGTTCGTCTATAATTTAGGGGTTATGTTGTCTGTACGTTTTATTTTTAACCTCAAATCAATGTCGAAGCTATCTGCCCTGTCAAATTAAGCAGGAGATCCAAAATTTCAAGGGTAGGAAGATGGAAGAAATAGGGAAAGAGACCTTTTATAGCCCACCATAGCGGTGGGTGACTGGCCTCTAGTTTATACAATGATTCACCTCTTTGGCAGTACAGATAACAAAATACACTTTACTGGTAAAATTTAAAACAAAAAGGCAAAACAAACCAAACTCGTTTTCCCCTTAGTTCCCCTTAAACCATGCTTTAAAAAATGAAATAGTCATATATATGTTAGTGTGATTTAAGTCTCAATGGTACCTTATTCAGGCATAGTGCATTTGAAGTCATATCTCAAATAGTGGAATAAAAGCTTTTGTCCCATGTGAAGAAAGTCTAAGCATCAGCTGTTTAACGGGGAAAGAGCTTGCTTCATAATGGTGAGGTTGTATATGTTGGTTATGTTTTATATAAACCCAAAAGATGAAGTCATTCCTGCATTTACCCCTTCATTAAAATATGATAGATGAGGTTCTTCCTGTCTTGTATCAAAATAAGGTGATTAGCAAGCTGGGCTCATCCATTCATTCACTGAACTTTTCACCAAACATGGATCACGTTTTTCCTACATGTAATAAAAGCGACATGATTCACATTTTATTGGGTGTCACAGCAATTCTTATGCACAAGTCTGATCACTTGGATCCTCATAACAATTCTGTGAGTTGGGGAGGCGAGTATTACTATTCTTTCTCAGAGAAAGAAACTGTGGCTTAAAAGGCGGGTATAAGTGACCTGCCTCCTCAACATCCAACAAGGTGTAAGTGGAACTGGGACTCAGCCCTCAGCACTGGGACTCAGAGTTGGGCTACATCTGCTAAAGTCACCCTGCTTTAGGCCATGACAAATTATGATTTAGCATAGGAGAGACTGAGAGATTCTTGTTCTTAATTCTGAACTTTCTGCCCTAATTTACTTCCTGTATGTCTCAACTTCTTTCCTACTTTCAATAAAATGTGACTTCAAATCCACCCCCCATTCCCACCTAGATTAAAATGATCCAAGGCTGGGCGCAGTGGCTCACATCTATAATCCCTTTTCTTTTTTTTTTTTTTTTTTTTGAGAGGGAGTCTCACTGTCACCCAGGCTGGAGTGCAGTGGCATGACCTTGGCTCACTGCAAACTCTGCCTCCCAGGTTTAAGCAATTCTCTTGCTTCAGCCTCCCTAGTAGCTGGGACTACAGATGTGTGCCACTACACCCGGCTAATTTTTTTGGTATTTTTTGTAGAGATGGGGTTTTGCCATGTTGGCCAGGCTGGTATGGAACTTCTGGCCTCAAGCGATCTGCCCACCTTGGCCTCCCAAAGTGCTGGGATTACAGGCATGACACCATGCCCGGCCCTATAGTCTCAATATTTTGGGAGACTGAGGTGGAAGACTGCCTGAGCCAGGAGTTCCAGAGCAGCCTGGGTAACATGCGGAGAACTTGTCTCTACAAAAAAGTTAAAAATTAGCTGGGCATGGTGGCAGACAACTGTGGTACCAGCTACTTGGGAGGCTGAGGTGGGAGGATCACTTGAACCTAGGAGATTGAGGCTGCAGTGAGCTGTGATTGCACCACTACACTCCAGCCTAGGTGACACTGTGAGACATTCCTTAACTTCCAACTCGTCAACTATTCTTTTTCCAGTTAAAAACAAACAAACAAACAGAGGTGGAGAGAAAACAGGAGTCAACCTAGGAAGGAGAGGACAATGTTTGGTTTAAACATATAGACATTGTTTTTTTTTGTTGTTGTTGAGACAGAGTCTTGCTCTGTTGCCCAGGCTGGAGTGTAGTGGCATGATCTTGGCTCATTGCAACCTCTGCCTCCCAGATTCAAGCGATTCTCCTGCTTCAGCCTCCTGAGTAGCTGGGACTACAGGTGTGCACCACCACACCCGGCTAATGTTTTGTATTTTTAGTAAACATGGAGTTTCACCATATTGGCCAGGCTGGTCTCGAACTCCTGACCTCGTGATCCACCTGCCTCAGCCTCCCAAAGTGCTGGGATTACAGGTGTGAGTCAATGCTTCCGGCCGGCATTGTTTTTTAATTCTTGTGTTTACTCATTCCAGAAAACATTTATTGTGCACCGACTTACAGTTAGTGGTATGCCAGCTGCCTTGAAGGGAGCAAGTGTGAAACGTGGCTTCTACCCTCCAGTTGCTCACATGTTGCTCACAGTTCAGTGGAAGAGATACCAAGGAAATAGGCAAACATAGTCAGGTGTAAAACGTGCTATCACAGAATCACGGACAAAACACCAGGGGTACAATCATGATGAATCTGTTTGAGGGAAAGTTTCGGAAAGACTTTGCAGAGTGTAACATCAACATTTGAGTTGAAGTTTTTTGTTGTTGTTGTTGTTGTTTGCTTTTAAGAGGGAATCTTGCTCTGTCACCCAGGCTAGAGTACAATGGTGCAATCTCGGCTCACTGCAACCTCCACCTCTCAGGTTCAAGCGATTCTCCTGCCTCAGCCTCCTTAGTAGCTGGGACTACAGGCACGTGCCACCTCTCCTGGCTAATTTTTGTATTTTTGTAGCGATGAGGTTTCACCCTGTTGCCCAGGCTGGTCTCGAACTCCTGACCTCAGATGATCTGCCCACCTCGGCCTCCCAAAGTGCTGGGATACAGGCGTGAGCCTCTGTTTCCGGTCTTAAGCGGACTTTTGAAGGTTGAGTAGTAGTTTGCTAGACAAAGAAAGAAATGAGGGTAAGGATTAGAAAGGATTGGTGAAAGGAGAGTGTGAGCAGAGCTTAGAAGAACAGAAACCAGGCTGGGCGCAGTGGCTCAGCCCTGTAATCCCAGCACTTTGGGAGGCTGAGGTGGGTGGATCACCTGAGGTCAGGAGTTTGAGACCAGCCTGACCAACATGGAGAAACCCCGTATGTACTAAAAACACAAAATTAGCTGGGAGGAGTGCTTGAATCTGGGAGGCGGAGGTTGCAGTGAGCCGAGATCGCGTCATTGCACTCCAGCCTGGGCAACGAGAGCAAAACTCCATCTCAAAAAAAAAAACAAGAAAAAAAAAACAAAGGAAGAAACCTTGTTTAGTCACAGAATGGAATCAGACAAGTTTTTTTCTTTAATTTTATTTTGATTATAGAAGTAATGTTATCAGTTAGAGTTGTATTTGGCTGTGAATAACAGAAAACCCAATGAGCCATAACTTAAGCAAACAGAGGTTACTCATGTCACACAAAAATAAATCCAGAGCTGCAAAGCCCGGGGATCTTTCCATCTTTCCTCTCCTTCATTTGGAAGTGAAGTCCAACAGCCTGAGGCTTGGTGCTTCGTGGTGACAGAAAGGCGGTTGCATCTGTAGGCTTTGCAGCCACATTCCGAATGAAGAAAAAAGTATGGAAGTCCAAAGGGACATATCAGCCGAACTTCCCTCTTAAAAAAAATACAATAATAAAAATTTTTTAAAATTCTAGGCTGGGCACAGTGGCTCATGCCTATAATCCCGGCAGCACTTTGGGAGGCCGAGGTGGGCAGATCAACTTTAGGTTGGGAGTTTGACACCAGCCTGTCCAACATGGCAAAACTCCATCTCTATGAAAAATACAAAAATTAGCCAGGTGTGGTGGTGGGCGCCTGTAATTCCAGCTACTCGGGAGGCTGAGACATGAGAACTGCTTGAACCCAGGAGGCGGAGGTTGCAGTGAGCTGAGATCGCGCCACCGCGTTCCACTCCAGCTTCCGCGATACAGCAAGATTCTCTATCAAAATAAATAAATAAATACATAAAATAAATAAAATTCTAGAAGCAGAAGCATATCCATGACTGTCTTTTGTAACTCATTACCTAGAAATGAATCACATACAAGAAAATCTTGGAATGGTTTTACTTTCCCAAAGACAATCAATGCTATCTTTATAGGAAGGAAGGAGAGAGTACATGTTGGGTAGATAGCAAGCAGTTCCTGCCTCTGCCTCAGTTATACAGTCACACTATAGTAAGGGCAGGATATAAAAGAATAACAGACCGGGCACGGTGGCTCATGCTTGTAATCCCAGCACTTTGGGGAGTCGAGGTGGGTGGGTCACCTGAGGTCAGGAGTTCGAGACCAGCCTGACCAACATGGAGAAATCCCATCTCTACTAAAAATACAAAATTAACCAGGTGTGGTGGCACATGCCTGTAATCCCAGCTATGTGGGAGGCTGAGGCAGGAAAATCACTTGAACTCAGGAAGCAGAGGTTGTGGTGAGCCGAGATTGCTCCATTGCACTCCAGCCTGGGCAATAAGAGCGAAACTCTGTCTCAAAGCAAAAACAAAAAACAAAACAAAAAAAAGAATAACAATTACTCAAATTCCACAATCATAGCAATAACAACTATTCATTTACTATTATTTTCCTTAAATCATATTTATATGTCTAGTTTATTTGCTATAATTATAATCATTATGTATTTACTATTTTGTCCAGCTATTTATATTTGTTTATTCATTTATTTATTTATTGACACAGAGTCTTGCTCTGTCGCCCAGGCTGGAGTGCAGTGGTTCTCTCTAGGCTTACTGCAAACTCTACCTCCCGGGTTCAAGCGATTCTCCTACCTCAGCCTCCCAAGTAGCTGGGATTACAGGCATGCACCACCATGCCTTGTTAATTTTGTATTTTTAGTAGAGATGGGGTTTCTCCATGTTGGTCAGACTGGTCTTGAACTCCCGACCTCAGGTGATCTGCCTGCCTTGGCCTCCCAAAGTGCTGGGATTACAGACGTGAGCCACTGCGCCCAGCCTTATTTTTATTTTTGAGTTGGGGTCTTGTTCTGTCATCCAGGCTGGAGTGCAGTAATGCAATCATGGCTCACAGAAGCCTGGACTTCCTGGACTCACGTCATCCTTCCATCTCAGCCTCCTGAGTAGCTGGAACTACATGCATGCACCACCATGCCTGGCTACTTTTTTTTTTTTGTATTTTATAGAGATGTGGTTTTACTATGTTGCTTAGGTTGGTCTCAAACTCCTAGGCTCAAGCAGTCCTCCCACTCAGTCTCCCAAAGTGCTGGGATTACAGGTGTGAGCCACCTGCCCAGCCAGCATTCAATTTTTAAATAATTTTTTATAGAGATGGGGTCTCACTTTGTTGCCCTGGCTGACCTCAAGTGATCCTTCCACCTTAGCCTCCCAAAGACTCTGGAATTACAAGTATGAGTTCTTCAATTTCTACTGATCCTGTGGTAGGCAGAATAGTGGTCCCCCAAAGATATCCAAGTGCTAATGTGAAGGACTGGTGAATGTGCTAAGTTACCAGGCAATGAGGAGTTAAGGTTGCTAATCAACTGACCTTGAGGTGGGGAGATAATTTTAAATTATCCAGGTGGATAAAGATCTTTTTAAGGCCGGGCGCGGTGGCTCAAGCCTGTAATCCCAGCACTTTGGGAGGCCGAGATGGGCGGATCACGAGGTCAGGAGATCGAGACCATCCTGGCTGACACGGTGAAACCCTGTCTCTACTAAAATATACAAAAAACTAGCCGGGCGAGGTGGCGGGCGCCTGTAGTCCCAGCTACTCGGGAGGCTGAGGCAGGAGAATGGCGTGAACCCGGGAGGCGGAGCTTGCAGTGAGCTGAGATCCGGCCACTGCACTCCAGCCTGGGCGACA